TTTTTTTTTTTTTTTTATGTCTGTCACTACTTTTTTCAGCTCTCACTGGACCGATATTTATGAACAATACGTCAAAAGATCACAAATTGTATATAATCGAAGACATTACCCTCAAAAATTGAAAAAAATTACCTCGTTCCCCGTAAATTGGCGAAATCTTCAAAAAAATTACAAATTTAAAAGACGCTAATTTTCGAAATTTTTTTTTCTTAAAACTTAACTTAATGCATATAAATAACGACATTTTTTAACACGTTTTTGGGTAAGTTTCAAAGTATTCTTTGCTCTTTTAATTTAGTTTACTTTTATATTATCAACTTATAAAAAATAGTATGTAATCATAAAATTTTAGCTTCGATGCGAAGCTAAGAAGGTATTGATTTTACTATGATATGTTTTTTTTTTTTTGTGTCTGTGAACGCTCAATCTCAGCTCTCGCTGGACCAATTTTGATAAAAAAACATGTCAAAAGATCACGAATCGTATCTAGTCAAAGATATTACCCTCAAAATTTAAAAAAAATTCCCTCGTTTCCCGTAAACGGGGGAGATCCCCAAAAAATTACAAGTTTAAAAATCGCTAATTTTCGACATTTTTTCAATTTTTTTTACTTAAAATTGCCATAACTTTTTAAAAATGACCGAATCAATATAATTTTTTTTTATAGATACCTTGGATATTTACCTATTATTTTATATATTTTTGTGAACATTTGACCCTTTACCTGTCCATAGGGAGGGAGGGTTTCAATATGGAAACTTTTTCCACATAACTTTTGAAAGTGTTCCGGAAATACTGACATTCTTATATGTATCTTAAATTAATACTTATGTAATATACTTTAATTTGAAAAAAAAAATTGACCTCTGGATGACTACCATATTCAAAAATATGCTATTTTTGTGTTAAAATTCTGGGTTTTGTATTTTATTTTATTTTAAAATAACTGACTAGAGGAGTAGACAGATTTTCATAAATATTATATAAATAAAAAATCGATATAGCATAGAAAGTTAAATTTTTTTGCTTTTTGAAGTCGAGAAAAATAACTTTGAAATTTGAACTAGCTTAAATAGCCAATTTTTCAGTCAACAGTATCGACATACGGTTGCTGAGTCGATAAAACTTGTGTTTTACGCGCTTGGGGATACAAGGTTTCAATCTGCATATGGCAATAAATTTTTTGCATTTTTTCTTTATTCTTTTTAAGTTAGAATACATTTTCAACTGCTTTGATTTTTATCTCATTTAACTTCAATAAAGATCAAGGATCCCATCACTGTAGTCGCCACTCGCGAAAAGAAATTTCTTATTCATATTTTAAATTATAATTAATTATACAAAATTATTTTACTATATTTTAAGTTTTAGCTTCGATGCAAAGCTGAAAAGATATTTTTTGTGACTATCATTTATTTTCTCTACTCTAACTTGACCTACTTTTTTCAACGATATATCAAATGACTACAATTCGTATCTAGTTGAAGATATTACCCTCAAAAATTGAAAAAAAATTCTAATTTATCAATTAAACAGTTAGTTATTCCATGTTCTCCATACAGACAATTAAAATCATTCATTTCTAATGTTTTCAAAATATTTATTGACGAATCATGTTTGATATGATAGGTTTCAAATACAAAATTAAATAATTTTACTTTATAATTTAATAATTTTTTTACTCTATTTGTGTGTGCAACTACTAGACTATAATATTCCAAATTTGTTGGTAACATGTTGCTATATATATCATTTCCAAAAAAAATGATTGTTAGTTTCTCCTGAATTAACAATGGATTTTTACAATTATAATCAAATTTTATAATACGCTCAATTGAGTAAATCTTTTTAACAACTTTGTTTTGATTGGTTAATTTAGTTAAAGTAAATCATTAAAATTAATTAAGTTCATATTTCAATTGCAGAAACTTTTTAAACACCAAAAGTTATTAGGAAATGATTACTATTACTTCTATTTAAGTTATCTATTACGATAAAAATGCAAAAAAATAATGAGCTATTCTGTTAAATTTACAATAAATAATATTTATAAAACTTCCTAACTACATATTAATCTTAACGGTACAATTTTTTTAATTCTCATAAAATTTTCTATTTAATGATGTCAATTTCATACTTTCCAATTGAGATATAAGTTATTGTAAAAAAAATTATTATTTTTTATTTATAAACATTCACAAAAATCAACTTAAAACGATTAAAAAATAGGTTAAATATGTTATTTTCCTTATTTTTAACATATTAATAATCAAAATCAGTATTAATTTAAAACAATTTTTCCATGTTCTTAATTATTTTTTTTTATATGTAAATACTTATTTTTTAATAATAAGTAATAATATTAAAACTTAGAAGTAAAGAAAAAGTTTAATTGCACATTTGAAAACATTGTGAAAAGTTGATTTAGAAAAGTATGTTTTTGTTTCTGATGAAAGTTCCTTGTAGTCTAGTGTATTTATTCATAAGTAACAAAATTTTTTTATTAAAAAAATTGCATCAATCCCTTTAAATTTTTATACGCATTGTTGTGACCATGTTAGTACGGTAGACAAAATGAAGAGATAATGTGTTTTATAATTAGTTGCTATTTATTATATTTAAAAATATATTTACACCTATAATTGACTTTAATGAGTTAATAATGAATATAAAAGATTCAGTGAACAAATTAATATAAAAGATTCAGTGAACAAATTAACAAAAGATTCAGTGGAGAGTCGTCCAGGTTTGACCCTATGAACTATATGACACTTGAACGAGTAGCTGATTACTACTGGCGCGTCGTCTCAGACGGCGGCAGCCGTAGTCCCAATACATTGAAAAGGGCTGAGCAAGCATCGAATGTTCTAGAAGTAGGGGATGCTTGCCTGGTTAATACTTTATATACAAGACAAAAGAGGCTCCCGTTTCCATGATTAATATATATAATATTATATTACACAATTACAATTAGGCAGCAAAAAGACAGTTTACAACAGCATTAAAAGTATAAGAATATACAACTCCATTTTTATTTTTATAATATCTCCGTAAAAATTACAATATTATATTATGGAATATCAATTTCATACTAAATTTAATTACTATAATTATTATGTATTCATATATTATAATTATAAATCGGGATAAAATTAAGGGAATAAGAGTTATGGTTGCTTTTGAAATAATCTATCAATCTCTTAAAATTAAATACTATCTACAAATTTGTATCGAAGCGTTTCTAATGATAGTGATTTTAATCACTTTCAGATATCATCTATACTTGTCCCAACTATGCCGCGACCCCACTGTGCTACCGTTTTTTTTTTATTAATTTTAATTTATTATTTTATTATGTTATGACAAAAAAGCGTACCTACAAATTTCAATACTGATTTTATAAACATGTTATATTAGTCTTATTACCATCAGATAATTTTTGTAATGTAATATTTTTGGTCACTGTTTTCCCGGGCCTTACAGAAAAGCTAGTCCGACCCTGGCTAAATGTAATGGTAACGAATTCAACTATTTATTTATTATAAATTTTCAAAATAATCAACTTAAAACGATTAAAAAAATTGGTTATATATGTTATTTTCCTTATTTTTAACATATTAATAATCAAAATCAGTATTAATTTAAAACAATTTTTCCATGTTCTTAATTATTTTTTTTATATGTAAATACTGATTTTTTAATAATAAGTAATAATATTAAAACTTAGAAGTAATAGAAAAAGTTTATTTGCACATTTGAAAACATCGTGAAAAGTTGATTTAGAAAAGTATATTTTTGTTTCTGATGAAAGTTCCTTGTAGTCCAGTGTATTAAACTTATAACTTTATTATAAGTAACAAAAATTTTTTATTGAAAAGTATTGCATCAAGCCCTTTAAATTTTTATACGCGTCAAAAGTAAAGGAATATACAATTACTTTATTATGTTTATAATATATTTGTAAAAATTACAATATTGAATTATTGAATATCAATATCATACTAAATTTAATTGCTATAATTATTATTTACTCATATATTATAATTATAAATCAAATTGAGATAAAATTAAGGGAATAAGAGTTATGGTTGCGTTTGAAATAATCTATCAATCTCTTAAAATTAAATACTATCTACAAATTTGTATCGAAGCGTTTCTAATGATAGTGATTTTAATCACTCTCAGATATCATCTATACTTGTCCCAACTATGCTACGTCCATACTGTACCGCGATCCTACTATGCTACCGTTTTTTATAATTGAATAGTTTAATGACAGTGTTTTGAAAATAAATTATAAACATATTTTAAAAAGAGTTCTTGTTTTGTATAATTGACTTTTTATAATGTTCTTAAAGTCATTATAAAGTAATTAATTCTTGAATGTATAAATAATAAAAATATCTCAATATACATATTTATATATTTTAAAATGCTAGTAAAATAAGTTATGTTATTAAATATTACTCATATATGCTGTAAAAAAATATTACATAGACCTTGAGAAAACATAAATAATTTATATGATTTAATATTACACTGTAATAGAGAAAATAAAATTACATGATAATGAAAAATTAATTTTAATGGTTCATTCTATTTTGCTATAAATTATTAATATTTTAGCACATTTCTATCAAAAAGAATAATAGTTGTTACTTTGAATTTTAGAATAATAAACATTAATAATTTAGCTATAATATATACTTTCATTAGCAAATTTATATTAACTCGCTTCAATAGTATTCTTATATATTAGGGTTCGTCAACAATATATTTTTAGATATCGATATCGTATGAAAAAATAAATCGATTGCATCAAATATAATTTGAAATCAAAAAAACTATTTTTTAAGAATAAAATTTAAATTTTAAAAATTTCATAATTTTTTTTTATTTTCCAGAATAATATTAAATTACCATTATAAATTCAGACTATAGTATAGCAAACAAATCAAATAATGATATTAATATAAAAAATATATAAATAATAGCCATATCTCATAACGATAATCAAATATTTTCAAATTAATTTTTTTTTATGAAAAAATTATTTTTTTTAATATAAATACTTATATTTAACTATAAGTAATAATATTAAAACTTAGAAATGATAGAAAAATCTAATTTTTTTTTTTATAAACTTTCATAAAAATTATCCTTAAAGGACCAAAAAACAGATAAAAAGGATTATTTTTAATGGTATAAAATCAAAATGAATATTAATTTGAATATATATATATTTTTTAAACTTTTTTTTTCATATTTAAATACATATTTTTTTCTTATTTGTTATAATGTCAAAAATTAGAAGTAATAGAAAAATTCTAATTGCAGATTTGACAACAGCACAAAAAGTTGATTTAGAAAAATATATTTTTGATTCTGATGAAAGTTTTTTTTAGTCCAGTGTATTTATACATAAATAACAAAAAAATGTTTGATAAGTATTTCATCATGCCCTTTAAATTATTATACACGTTAAAAGTAAAGAAATGTACAACTACTCTATTATTTTTATATTTTCATCGTAAAAATACAATATTAAATTATTGAACGTCAGTTTCACACTATATTTAATTGCTATAATAAATTTATATTTATACATTACATTTATAAATCATAAAACTTGTAATCAGGATATAAATAAGGAATAGAAGATCGTGTTGCTTTTGGAATAATCCACCAATTTTTTTAAATTAAACACTATCTACATATTTTCATCGAAGCGTTTTTTATAATAGCGATTTAATCTGACAGTGATTAAATCTATTCTGGGTGCTGGTTTTTTTTTCTTTTAAGTCGAAAAAAATAATTTTAACATTTGAATCAGCTTGAATTGCCAATTTTATTAAATCACAATCGCCATTTGAACGTTTGCCGATTCATTAAAAAATGTTTACCTTTTCTTATATGAGAAAATGGCTGTTGAATTTAACAAAAAATTACATTTTTTGTTAAAGTGATAATATTTTTATACTGAAACGTGCTTTAACTTTGTTAAATATGTAGAAAACAAAATAATTTTTTTTTATATTGAAACCTTAGGTATTGCCTTTATATTTGGTATACATTTTTAGAAAATATGACCATTTATCTGAACACAAGGGAAGATTCAAAATAGCAACTTTTGCACAGAAGTTAAAATTTTTTAACTTAACTTTTGAAAATGTTTCGGAAATATTGACACTTAACTATATGTATTAAAAAATAAATTTCGAACTTTGTCTTCATGGTGAAAATGGATACCGTATTCAAAAATATGATATTTTTGTATTATAATTTCATCGTATAAATACAATATTAAATTATTGAACATCAATTTCATGCTAAATTTAATTACTATAATTAGTATTTATTCATATGATATACTTTAATATCAAATAACCAGTAATCAGGATATAATATAAGAGTTAATGTTACTTTTATCTACCAATTTCTAGAATTAAAAACTATCTATAGATTTGCATCAGATATCGTTTATACTTTACCTAACTGTGCTACGACCCCACTGTGCTACCATTTTTTTTTTAATTAACAATAAGTTAATTCATTATGTTATCTTTCATATGTATTAAGATAATTTATCATTACATAAATTAAAAAGCCTACTTAATAACAGATAAAAGTTGCAAATTTTAGCAAAGTTATTAAACGTAATAATTTTTAGAAGCATATAAATCTATGTTTAGGATAATATTTTTAATATTTCATGAATATCTGAATAAAAGTATATATAATTTCTGAAATGAAAACGAAATAAAATAAGAAGTTTTTAAATTACGATTTCGGAACATAAATGTTTAATTTGTATTACTGTCAGTATCTGAATAGAGCCAAACCCCACATAATTATTACAAAATATCTGGTTACTACCTGTGAAACTAAAATCATATTTGAGTAAAATGTACTTAATTTTATTATTATCCGGAATCGTTTTTTAAGTTTAATTGTTTATCCATAGAACTTGTTGAGTAAGATCTCATCTTGATTTCTTAAACTAGATTTCTTACTAGTTTTAATAATTACTGAACATCAAGGTTAAATAAACTGGTAGGTATTCAAATTAGTCTTTAAAGTTAATTTGAATTTATTAAATTTTATTAAAGATATGTAAACTGAAAAATGGGTTGTATTATTCGCAGCTATTTGAGAGTGGAAATTTAACACTCCGTAAATTAAGGTACCTTATATCAAAATTTAATTATTAAAAATTTAATTTAATTTCTAACATTTTTATTCATTTTGTAATATTCAATTGATTGTCAAATATTCGGATTCAGTATAAATAAAATTAATTTCCAAATGTTAACGTACCCACCTTGCTTAATTCTTATACATCAATCAATAAGTTTTGGATCAATTTTCGTAAATCATAAATCGTAGATGAATGACTATAGGATCGTATTAACCAAAAAAAAATGTATTTTTAAAACTATTTAATTATTTTTGTTCAATTTTGTATTTAATTATGTTACTTTAGATGTACTCTAATTATAGTTATAACTACTAAATCTAAGAATTCTATCGTTGTAATAATCAGTTCTACAAAAAAAACTAAATTATGAAGTTTAAAAAAATTAAAATTTTTTTGTTTAATACGTTTAATTTGTCCTACACCGACGATATAATTACGAAAATCTAATGTGTCAATAGAAGTAGTCCTAAACATATTTCTTAATAAATATACAATTAATAATGAATTAACGTGTTAATTTTTCTTGCTTATGTTCTTACTTATACATATATTATTAAATAAAAAAACAATTCATAAATACTCAATGTTCAGATTAATATTGACTGAAGTTATCATTTTTTAAATGAATAGAAGTAACAATATGTTTCAAGGTTATCAGTGAAAGTATTTTGTACTACTTTCAAGTAACAACATTTCCGTCTATAAAATTTTTTTACGTTGCATAGTTTCTCATTTTCTTATGGCTTAGTTATGTTAAACAATATTGTGAATTCTATTGACATGAAATAAATGTATGTATTTTATGTTTATGTATATAAGTATAATTAATTACATAAACATGATTATTTCAATAATACCGTCGTAATAATGTTTCAAATCAATAACTAAGGGTACTCTTATTATTCTAAATTAAATATATAAAAACGTATTAACAACATAAATGTAAATCGATTCTAAATATATCAAACAAACTCATTAATTTTTCTCTATCAACTTTAAATTAAATATAGAATCGATTTGAAACAATCAATCGAAAAAAACATCTTAATTACTCAGGTATTTAGATCAATACGTGTGGCTTAAGTTTTAGCTTCAATGCAAAGCTGAGAAAGTTTTGATTTTACTATGATGTATTATTATTTTGTGTCTATTTATAAAATTTTAAAATCGATAGTATACTAGTCAAAATCAATCAATAATTAAAATACGCTTTTTATCTAATTCAATACAAATAGAGTTGAATTAGGCCACACACACATACAATGTGTTTGTGAATAAATGACCTGTCTCTAATAGAAATTAACCAATTCGTCTCGAAGTTTATTCCCTACAATAAACGGTTTTATTTTTTAGATAATTCTTTCTTAAATGTATTTAAATTATCTTATAAAAATAATTGTATTATACAAGTAGTCTTAAATATTGGTCAAACTTACAGTTAAAGCTTTGTCGATTCTCCTATTGTACTAAATTTAATTAAATATTAAAACTATCTAAAAATAATAATATCTGAGACGATATACGCACATTGAACTATTGTATAGAACTTTCTCTGCCGTATATTTTGTAATCATTACGTCGGTAAGAGTACTTCCTGATAATCAACTATTTTAAAGCACCAGTACTACTAGTAACATATAATATGAGAAGTTACACAGTCTGACTGCGCCAGTAATCCAGTGGTATTTGTAAATTTACTATTATACTGTGTTCGACGGTAGCAGTCGTGTCTCGAGCTATTAATACGTAGAATTTTATTAATAAAAATATTGTTTCAAATTAAAATTCGGTATTTGAATCACATTAAATGGATACATAAGTTGAAATTATTATGTTTAAAATGAATTGATTTGAGATTGATGTGTTATTCTTAACTGTTAAAGATGTTTGAACCAATTGTATTAGGTTTTGCTTTTATTGGATTCATTATTGTTCTAGTGATTTTATGTGATGCTTTCTGGGAAATAGCTCAGGGATTTTTTGCTCATTTGATTCCGCAGATATTACCCAATAATATTGGCTTGGATATCAAGTACGGAAAATGGGCTGGTGAGTTTTATTTTATAAATATTAAATAAGTAATGATTACTATAAAATGTATTTAATTTTAAACAAAAATACTACATTTATCATTCAATATTAAAATAATGACAGTAATGGGAATTTATGACTTTTATATAATTTATAAGCTTTTAATTTGTTTTTAAATCATTCGGAAATTAAGTAATAATATATTGGCCATATTTTATATGTAAAAATTTTAAATTCTTTAAATTAAAAATTATTTTATAAAATTAATTTCAAATATAAATAAATATACGATATAAATAAAAATAAATATCGTATGTATGTGATTGGTATTACTCTTTGATCTTTATATATAATCTTTTAGTATAAACTTAACAATAATGATTTTATTTGATTTAATTTCATTAAAATTTAATATCTAGTATTGAAAACGTTCTTATAACATAATAATAATGTAAAAATTGATCAGCAACTTTTAACTAATTATTTCTTATTTTCCGAAAAATGTACTACGTAATGACTAGTAAATATTATTATCTAGTAGACTGTTATAGAAAACTATTTAATTCAGAAGAGGAAATAGTCCGATTTACAAAAAAGTTTGTCAGATGAAAGTTGTGTATAAAAGGTATTAAGGAAAAAAATTGTATGGATGCATATATTTTTTAAAAAGTTATAGAAATATAAAGATAAAAGTATAAATTATACAATCGAGAATTTTAATACAAAAATAGCATAATTTTGAATATGGTAGCCATGACGACATTTTCACTATGATGACAATCTAAATTTCGAATTTTTTTTTCTCAAATGAAAGTTTTTTTACATAAACTTTAATTTAAGATATATAAAAATGTGTCAGTAGTTCCGGAAAATTTTCAAAATTTAAGTTGAAAAATTTAAACTTGTGTGAAAAAGTTGCTATTTTGAATCTCTGAAAATTTAGATAAGGGTATATTAACTTTATCCCTTTAAATTTTTCATCGAAAAATTGAGGCATAATTAGTCACATGGAACATAATAACGTTTCTGTTCTTATATTATACAATCACCTTAAACAAGACATCAAATTAATAGTTAAGTTTGCAAAAAAAATTAATTATTTTAGTGAAGGTGCTTTAGTGAAGTCATGCTACATTTTGTTACTTTTTTTAAAAATATTCTTTATTTTTATAAAATTTCTGACTTTAAAATCCTCTAAATCCCAAAAAAATTGTTTTAAATATTTGAAATTTAGTTGAAACATAGATTATACACTATACAATACCACATTTGATAATCACTATTAAATAATAACTTCTAAATAGTTTTAAGTTAGCTCAAAATTGCCAATTTTCACAATAAAAGCGCTTGTTTTAGAAAGTCATTAGAGTTTAGAATTTATCATAACATTTTTTTTATATGTCAACTTTAAGTTATAATAAGGTTAAGTCTAAAATATTAATTAAATTAAGTTAATATTGAATAATCTGTGTGTTTTTTAACGTTCTGGCTATTTTTATCATTTTCTATATTGAAATAGCTATAAAAATGGTAAGGTCATAAAAAAAAAGGTTTTAATCTAAATATAGCTTAAAAAATAAACCCTGAAAATTTAAGAAATAAATGATGTGGTCGTACTAATTCTAGATGATTTGTCATGGATTAACTCTTAATAAAAAATAATATTGATCCAAACATTTTTCTATTTTAAAATTATAAAAGTCATTGTTACTTTATTGATAATAGTTTAATTTTTTATATAATTTTTTTAATAGTAGCACTTTTACTCGGAATAGATTATGTCACATTTTTATGTATTATAAAAGTAATCATTAATATAAAATTTGCATTGTAGTTGTAACCGGATCTACAGATGGTATTGGAAAGGAATACGCTAAAGCTTTAGCTAAATATGGACTTAATATAGTACTTATCAGCCGGAATTTGAACAAATTAAACATTACATCAATGGAAATAGGTATAAGTAATATTTATAGTGATTTCTTCTCATTGACCACTTAAAAGCTCTTTAAATGAAAATAACTTATTTGTAATCAGAAATAACACTTGATTTTGCTATTATTTGATATTTTTTTTTATCCCTTTTGTCTTAATTTTTCACCGAAAAGAAGAAGAACTTCCGAAATATCGATACATAAATTGTTATCGATTGGTAAGCATATTATCTTAATTAGATAATTATTTTTTTTAATAAGTTCATTGTCTCGTACATAAATGTGTTCAAATATTTAAGTGTATAAATGATAACATGCGCTTTCATTTGCATTTTTTTAATGGTTAAATACATAATAATGTATGTTATAAAAAAAATAAATAAATCATAGGGAAAAATTCAGATGTACCTAAAAAGTTTTTAATAATACATTTATTGAAAAATATACGCAATTAAAGAAAAACAAAACATTATTTTGATTTTATAAATGATTAAATGGATCGTAAAAAAAGAAATTTCATGTATAATTTGAAAACTATAAATGTAAATAACATAAATGTTTTTTAGAAAAAGAATACAATGTACAAACAAAAATTATACAGGCTGATTTTAGTAAAGGACAAGTAGTATTTGATCGTATCTCCAATGTGCTTAAAGATGTGGACATTGGTATATTAGGTAGGTATTTAATATTCTTTAAACTAGACATCAATTTATAATTAAAATTTGTTTTATGTATATTCAATGTAACTTTTAAAATCAGTTCAATATCATATCACCCTAGATATATTATGAAAAATTAAAATAATTTTCTTCATAAATGAAGTTTTTTTTTAAAGTCAAATTATTTTGGTTAAATTCTAGTAAGTTATATAAAATCAGTAATAATTCATAGATTTAATAAAAATAATTAATTAAGTTTTGGTCTGGGTGATATCTAGTATGGTTACAGTGATACAAACTGGGTTTGAATATCTGTTATTCAATACAATGAATCGACCCAGATAAAATGTATAAAAAATAATGAAAAAAAAACTTTTTTATAAAATAATACTACAATTTTCTTATAACAACATTGAATAATAATAATATAAATATTATTTTTAAAAAAACGCTATAGTAGAAATTTTAATAAGTGGGTTGGGTACTCTAAAAATTAATTTTTTTTCAATTTTTAATTAAATTAGGTTAGTATTTCTTTTTTTTTTTCAGCTAAATTGTTCTAATAATTTTTTAAGAGCATTATTGATGATTTTTTAATGTATTAAGTGTAGACTTAAGTACATAGTACTATTTTTGATAATAAAGAATTGACTTCAGTAAAGATAATTTTACGAGTATCTCATCTCCTTTCTATCGTCTATTAAATAATTTACTATATTTTAGAGAAAATCTCTAACAATTTTTTTTNTATCGTCTATTAAATAATTTACTATATTTTAGAGAAAATCTCTAACAATTTTTTTTTGTGTTTTTGAATGTAATTTTATTTTATAAATTTCATTAAAACCTATGAATTATCTTTTCAGTAAATAATGTAGGAATGCAATATGAATATCCCATGTACCTTGATGAACTTCCGGAAGCTACTGTATGGGATATAATAAATGTAAATATTGGTACTACAACTCATATGACCAAACTTGTATTACCTGGAATGCAAAAGAGAAAACGAGGAGCTATAGTAAATGTATCATCTTCTTCTGAATTACAACCTATGCCACTTTTAGCTATTTATGCGGCGTCTAAGGTATTAATTTATTAATTATATAAGTTTTATTTTTTACAAAGCATAAATTTAAAATCTGAAACAATAAAAAATAAACAATAGAATATAATAAATAATTGACTATCCTGACAAAAGTTAAATTTGGAAAAGAACTACAAAAAAACCCAGCACAGGGGGGTCGCGGCACAGTGGTGACGTGGCATAGTTGGATCAAGTATAATGACATCTGACAGTGATTAAAATCACTATCAAAAATAAACGCTTCGATGCAAATCTTTAGATAGTGTTTAATTTTAAAAAAATTGGTGTTTTATTCCAAAAGCTACTTGATCTGCTGGTTCCTTATTAATATCTCGATTAAGATAAAGTATGTCGAATGAAAAAGGGTTTATTAAAAAATATTATTTCTCATAAAAAAATTGTGTGGATCCATAAACTTTTCAATAAGTTATAGCATTATAAAGTTAAATATAATATAAATAATAAAATCGAGAATTTTCACACGAAAATAGCATTCGGTAGCCATTTTCGCCGTGAAGACAAGTCCAGAGGTCAAATTTTTTTTTTTCAAATTAAAGTATATTACATTAGCTTTAATTTAAGATATATATAAAAGTGTCAGACCTTCCGGAACATTTTCAAAAGTTAAGTTGAAAAAGTTAATTTTTTGTGAAAAAGTTGTCATTTTAAATCCCCCCCTGTGGGCAGAAAAAAGGTCAAATTTACAAAAAAAATATACCAAATGATAGGTAAAGACATCAAGCATATATATAAAAAAAAATTATATTCAAATGTTCATTTCTGAAAAAGTTACGGCAGTTTTTAGTAAAAAAAATTTAAAAAATTTCGAAAATTAGCGATTTTTAAATTTGTAATTTTTTTG